TAAAAGACTACCTATGGTTAGAAACAAGGCAAGAAATGTCACTACTTCTATTTGAGATTGTACTGGAGGGCCTGTACAGTGCAATAAAATTATTACAATAAATTTAAGTCATATCTATTAGTATAGAAGAAGAAATCAGACTTTATTGCCAAATAATATGATGATCTATGCAGAAAAATCTAGGGAATTTACAAAGAAAGTTGCAGGAATCAATAAGCGAGTCTAGCAATATTGCAGGATATATGATAAACCAAACTAGTTCTTTTTTTTAGTTTTTTTAAAAATTTATTTGACAGAAACAGAGAGATCACAAGTGGCAGAGAGATCACAAGTGGCAGAGAGGCAGACAGAGGAGAGAGGGGGAAGCAGGCTTCCCGCTGAGCAGAGAGCCAGATGTGGACCTCAATCCCAGGACCCTGAGATCATGACCTGAGCCAAAGACAGAAGCTTAACCCACTGAGCCACCCAGGTGCCCCAAACCAAACTAGCTCTATTTTCACAGGTTAGTAACAAAAAATAAATAAATCTTTAAAAATCTCTTCACAAGAGTACTTTTAAAAACATAATATTTGGGTATGAATTTTATAAAAGACATAAAAGATCTGTACACTGAAAACTACAAAACATTGCTGAGATAATTTAAAGAAAAACTATTAGTGGAACATTATACCATATTCATGGATTGGAAGATTCATTGTTACAACCATAACTCTCCTCAAATAAATGTAAAGATATGTATATACTCTCCTGTCTAAAAGTTTAAGCTTAATCTCAGCCCTTCTGCCCCATCTTGAATAGGAGCTGAACTTGGTAACTCAATTCCAAAAAAAAATGTGCAAAGAAAAAAGCAGTAACTTCACAGTGAAGAAACATGACAAATATTACCATAACCAAATCATAAAATTTAATATAATCAGTGATTAGTCATATGGATAGTATATAATCTGATATGTTATCCTTCCCTCCCCACCAAACAAACAAAAAAACAAAAAACAAAAACAAAAAAAAACCCCAAACCTGTAATTCCAACCTAATCATGAGGAAAACATCAGAAAAACCCACACCAAGTGACATTCTACAAAATACCTAACCAAAGCTCTTTAAAACTGTGAAAGTCATGAAAAACAAGAAAAGAATGAAATTATCATAGATTACAAGAGACTAACGAGGCATAACAAAATAATGCTATGTGGTATCCTCAATTAGGTCATAGAAAGAAAAAGGACAGTCCTGATAAACTAATAAAATCCAAATACAGTATGGAGTTCAATTTACAACACTGTATTGCTACTGATTTCTTAGTTTTGACAAATGTGCCATAGTAATATGTTAACATCAGGAGAAACTGGGTAAAGTGTGTAAAGGAACTCTGTATACTGTATCTGCAACTTTCCTATAAATCTAAAATTATTACCAACTAAAAAGTATACTTAATAAAACTCGGGAGGCTTTTCTGTAAAATTTTGCAAGCTGACATTTATGCTTATATGGAATTTGCTACACTTAGTATATCCATTACAATTTTAAAATGAAAAACAAATTTAGACATGCTGTCAGATTTCAAGACTTTACAGCTATGATAATCAAGACAGTGCATTGTTTACAAAAGGACAGAGGTATAGATTACTGGGACAGAATCAAGAGTCCAAAGATAGTTTCACATGTATCGGTGAAATCTTATTTGGCAAAAATGCTCATATAATTTGGTGGGAAATGATAGTCTTCTTAATAAATGATGCTAAAAGAATTGGGTGTACTAATGGAAAAAATCAATCTTGACTTTTTCCTCATGCCATACATAGAAATTAAAATAATCAAAAATGGATTATAGGCCTAAATTGATAGGCTAAGATGATAAAGTTTTAGAAAATATAGTGTTCTAAATGTAAGTATTTAGAAAAATTGACTTTTTTTTTTCTTTTAGAAGAAAAGACAAGAGAAAATCTTATAACCTTAAGTTAGGTAAATATTCTTAAATATAACACAAAAGGCATAAACCACAAAAGAATTTAAGAAGTTGGACTTCATCTAGATTAAAAACTTTTCTTATCAAAGGTACAGGAAGTGGAAAAGCAACCCAAAGATGGCAAGAAAGTATTTTCAAACATAGATCTGATCAGTGATTATTGAATAACTATGTAAATATACTCAAAACCACTGAATTGTGTATACAATAAATTAAATAGGTAAACTGTATAATGTATGGCTTATTTATGAATAAAGCTGTTAAAAAGTAAAGTAAGGTTTACACTTATAGGTATGTCCATGCAAACATACTACCCGGATTAATATCAAAAAGGGAAATAAAGGGGCGCCTGGGTGGCTCAGTGGGTTAAAGCCTCTGCTTTCGGCTCAGGTCGTGATCCCAGGGTTCTAGGATTGAGCCCACGTTGGGCTCTCTGCTCAGCAGGGATCCTGCTTCCTCCTCTCTCTGACTGTCTCTCTGCCTACTTGTGATCTCTGTCAAATAAATAAATAAAATCTTTAAAAAATAATAAAAAAAATAAAAATTAATTTTAAAAAAAGGGGGAAATAAACTAGAAATGCCTGGGTGGCTCAGTCAGTTAAGCACCTGCATTGGGCTCAGATCGTGACCCCAGGATCCTGGGATCAAGCTCTGAGTAGGGCTCCTTGCTCAGTGGTGAGTCTGCTTCTCCTTCTCCCTCTGCCTCTCTCCCCCCTCCCGTGTGCTTTCTCTCTCTCTCTCTCAAATAAATTTTTAAAAAATCTTTTTTTTTTTCAATAAAAAGGGGGGCAAAAATTAGAAAAAGAAAAACTAAGCCCAAAGTGAGGTGGAGAAAGGATATAATTAAGATTAGAACAAGAATAAATGACATACAGAATATAGAAACAAAAGAAAAAATAATTAAAGCTAGAGTTGATCTAAAAAATTTTGGATTTTTTTTAAAGATCTAAAATATGGACAAATCCTTAGCTCAACTAAGGAAAAAAAGGTAAGACTCAAATAAAATCATAAACAAAAGAAGAGACATTACAATTGATGCCACTAAAATAAAAAAAAAAAACACAAGGGACCATTATGAATAATTACATGCCAACAAATTGGACAAACTAGAAGAAATGGATAAATTCCTAGAAACATAAAACCTAACAAGACTGAATTAAGATGAAAGAGAAAGCCTAAACAGATCAATAACAAGTAAGGAGACTGAATCAGTAATCAAAAATTTCCTAGAATAAAGAAAGTCCCAGGACAGGCAGACTTCACAGGTAAATTCCACTAATTGTTTAAAGAATTAATATGGATCCTTAAAATCTTCCAAAAAATAAAAGAGGGAACAGTCACCAGATCATTTTATGAGGCTAATATTAGCCTGATACTAGAGCCAAATAAAACACTACAAGGAAAGAAAACGACAGGCCAACATCCTTGATGAACATACATGTAAAAGTCCTGAACAAATAGTATCAAACTGAATTTAACAGTACATTGAAAGGATCATCCACCACAATCAAATGGGGTTTATCCCTGGGATGCAAAGATGGCAGTATATGCAAATCAATGTGATATACCAGATTAACAAAAAAAAGATAAAAATCATATGACCATCTCAAGAAATGTAGAAAAAAAATTTAACAAAACTCAATGCCATTTCATGATTAAAACTCTCAAAAACTAGGTATAGAAGGGATTAAACACAACACAATAAAGACCATATATATATATATATGTATATATATATACATATATATGAACATATTTAACGATGAAAACTGAAAGCTTTTCCTTTCAGATCAAGAACAAGACAAAGATGCCCTGTCTTGCCACTTCTTTTCAATAAAGTACTAGAAGTACTAGCCAGATAAATTAGGCAAGAAAAGGAAATAAATAATATCCAAATTGTAAAAGAAGTAAAACTGTCTCTGTAGATGACATGATCTCACATATGGAAAAACCTAAGGACTCCACCAAAAAACTGTCAAAAATAATAAATTCAGCAAAGTTGCAGGATACAAAATCAACATATGAAAATCAGTTGCATTTTTATACTCTAACAGCAAACTATACAAAACAGAAATTAAGAAAGCAAACATATTTATAATAGCATCAAAATAATAAAATACTTTGAAATAAACTAAACCAAGGAAGAGAAAGACTTATACACTAAAAACTAAAAAACACTGATGAAAGAAATTAATGAAGACTCAGATAAATGAAAAGCCACCCCTAATCCCTAGGTTTATGGATTGGAACATTTTTTATTGTTAAAATATCCACACTACCACAAATGACCTATACATTCAATGTGATCCCTAGGAACATGATGACATCTCTAAATCAAATGTTTGACCAAGTGACCTCACTGGTTGATGGATTACACAAATCCTCTCCTTAGGTATTCAAAAAGCTTACAGCAGAACAATTACATGGGCTGCTGGCACATTCCAGATAGACTGACAATATATACATAGTATTGATACCCATTTATTTAACAAGTTACAGCAGAGAAAGTCCATTTCTACTTGAAAATTAATGGAAAAAGTTTCTCTAGGTAAGAATATGATGGTGCAAACCCATCATCATAAGGGCATGTGCCTTTGAGTTTTTTAGGGCTGGTGAATGACAGGCACCTTGCAGTTCCTCTTGCTCTAATTCTCTCATACTAATACCACCACACAACTGATAAAGAAGTTGTTGAGGTTAAGGATGAAGTCCCCCTACCTCCCACCCAAGTACCTACCTTATTGGGAGATAAGAGCACGGTACCTCTGCTTCTAACCCACCAAACAAATTCATTTGAATGACTTATCAAAGAAGTTCAACCTTCTGATATCCACGGATTTTATTTCTAACACCTAAGAATTCTCAATAGACTCAAAAGAACTTCACTACCATTTTTAAATTACAGCAAAACAACTTTCAGCTCATTATTTTATGCCATTGTCATAGTGTAAAAAAAAAAAAGTCATGTATCAGTACATTTTTCTAATATTCACTCACAAGTTACAGAAATCTTTTGAGTTTTTTATGTAAATACCTTGTAACCAGGAGTACCCATTAATCCATCCTTTCCATGTCTTCCTGGTTCACCCTAAAAAATAAATACAGATATTGTAATACATTTTTGTACTACTTTTTCTTTCTAAAAGAAGACAGTACAAGATAATTTTTATTTAGTATAAAATACTCAAAAGCTTTTTCTGTCAAACTCACAGCACGTCCAGGAAGGCCAGGAAAACCAGCATTCCCTTTTTCACCTTTTGCACCCTATATTAAAAACAAACACTTAGAAAACAATCCATGCAATAATTTAAATTTTTGTTTTTATTACCCAAAAAGAGCTTCATTTTTTGTTTGTTTAGTTTTCTGACTCTGTGTTTGTGCCTTCGACACTTCCACAATGATTTTCTGCTCAATAAAGAAAGCATGCTTGACCTTGGCAAGGGCATATTTAGCACACATGGAACCACCAGGGGCCCTGCTGACATGTTTTTCCATTTTAGGCAAATTCCTAAGACTTTAGGTCTCACAGCACAAATTCTTTGAAGTTGGCTTGGGCACACACATGCGGATCTTGGTGGTTTCTCAACTTTCTTGGTATAAATGTAAACAATTCTTTTACCAGAGTTTCTGGACAGCCTAGTTTTGCTAGAGAGTTTTGTAGGCTAGCCTGTGATGATAGCTAGACCATTGAGAATGCCCCAGATACCATCCCTAGAGGAAGTACAACAAGGATTTTAAAATTCCAACTCAAACTTCTGTTAAAAAGTAAGTCAACCTTTTTATGTAGTGACAGAATTCATGAAACGACGGCTAGTGTTGGCTCTACAACTCCTGGCAAAACATTATTTTACCAGGCCAGCCGACACAAAGACATTAAAAAAAATGGTGAATGCAGGATTATTACAAGTGTCTAAACACAAAAAAAAACACATCTTGGCAAAATTAAAAGGCAGAGAAAATATAATCTTCCTACAATGTGAAGAAATTGGAAGGCCCAGAACAGTGATTCTCCATGGACATGATGTCAAGCAGCTCCCACTTCCTCCCAAGGAATCTCTCTCTACAAATACTTTAAAAAATCAGAATGATCAATAACATGATGCTTTTTTATCAAATACCACATTCCAGGTATTATTTTATATTTTCATTATTCTAAATAAATTTCCTGAGAAAGATAGGTAAAGCTAATTGCTGTAATAGTGAGTCAGCTGTGACTGAAACATGAGTTTTCTACTTCCATGACATTCAAAGTTCCATACGGATACTTTGTTTTATAACTCATACTTCCCTTTTTGCCATAAAATCCAGTTGATCCTTTATCTCCTTTGGGGCCCATTTCACCCTAAAAGAGAAAATATAAACACTGAATTTTATTTTTATTTATTTTTTAAAATCTTTACTTCAATTCCAGTATTTGTTATGTCTCTTTTTATGTGATTTAAGCAGGGAATTCTGTGTGTACCTGAAGAACATGTCTATTCTATTTCTCATGTTTTATATATACCTTTTCAAACCATGTATTCTGAAGTATGCTTCAAGTAAAAAATGTTCTTGTTGAAAAAAAAAAAGACAACTTTAACTGAGGGTATTCATTTAAAATAAAGTCTAAGAGGGGAGGTGGGGGATGGATGAAATAGGTGAAGGGAATTAAGAGTAAAGTTTTGATGAGAACCAAGTAATGAGGTATGGAATTGCTGAATCACTGTATTGTACACCTGAAACTAATATAACACTGTATGTCCAGTAACTGGAATTAAAATAATTGACTTTTAGAGAAATATGAAAATGTCCCTTTAAGTTTAAAGGAAAAAAACACCAATTATAAACAAGGTTTAATTGCCAATATAAAATAGGAATAAAATAATTTAAATTTTATTTACAAAAGCCCTACATTTGAGGCTTTATGAAGAAAAACAAGGAAAAATAAGGATAGTTGGAACCATCACAGGGCCTAAAGTACAGGGCTTAGAGTTAAAAGAATTTCCATATATTAAAACGTACTCATCAGTGTTTAATTACCATAAAATTTGTGACCGGAAATTTTAAAGAAAATTTGTAAAAAGCTTTATGTAACTATGGTAGCAATCCAATCATTTACTTTAATATACTTTATATTTGAGCACTTACTTATAACACATTTGTAACATAAAGGACTTCTAATTTGAAATAAAATGCAACATTCGTGAATATTAAAAGACTAGATTTTTTTTCAACCTTTAATCCTGGCATTCCATGAAGCCCAGGAAAACCAGGAAGTCCACGGTCACCCTGAAAATGAAACTAAAATTAATGGAAGAAAATATATTTCAGCCTAAAAAATAACAAATTCTTTAGCTTCACCTTTGTCAAAATCTACTGGAAAAAAATCTTCGAACAGTTAAACACATATCTACATTAAAACCTTATCTCTATGAAAGATCAATCCTCATTTATCAGGGTTTCCTTTATGATTAGAAAAGGAAAGTATTTTTGAGACCTAGGTGAAGTTTTTCCAGTTCTGTAAAAAATATTGTTTGTGTATATATATTTATATTTATATATTACTTATATATAAATATATTTATATATTTATTTATATATCATTTATTTATTTATTTTGCTGTGCTGGGGGAGTGCAAGCATGAGCAGGAGGGAGAGGGGTGGAATGAGAGAGAGAGAGAGAGAGAGAGGGAATCTTAAGCAGGCTCCAGGCTCAGTCTGGAGCCTAATGCAGAGCTCCATCTCAGGACCCTGAGATCATGATCTGAGTGATCATGATCAAAATCAAGAGTTAATTGCTTAACCAACTGAGGTACCCAGGTGCCCCAAATGCTGTTGGTATTTTAAGGGATTGTATTGAACCTGTAGATTGCTTTGGGTAATGTGGGCATTTTAACATTAATTCTTCTAGTCCTTGACTATAAAATATCTTTCCATTGTGTCATTATCAATTTCTTTTATCAGTGTCTTATAGTTTTCAGAGTAAAGGTCTTTCACTTCCTTGGTTAAATCAAAAAACATGAAGACAAATGAAAATGAAAACACAATGATCCAAAATTTTGGAGATGCAGCAAAAAAACTATTAGTAGTACATGAACTCAATAGAGTTGTAGAATATAAAATTAATACCCAGAAGTCAGTAGCATTTCTATGAACTAATAATGAAATAATAGAAAGGTAATTAAAAAAAGAATCACATTCATAGTTGTACCAAAAAGAATGAAATACCTAGGGATAAACTTAACCAAGGAAGTAAAAAATCTATTGTAATTCAATGTAAATTGTAATTCAATGTAATCCCTATCAAAATACCATCAGCACTTTTTCAGAACTAGAAGAAATAATGCTAAAATTTGTATGAAACCACAAAAGACCCCAAAGAGCCAAAGAAACCTTGAGAAAGAAGAAAAAAGCTGAAGGTATCATACTTCCAGATTTCAAGATACGCTACAAAGCTACAGTAATCAAAACTGTACAGTACTGGCACAAAAATAAACACATAGATCAATAAAACAAAATAGAGAGCCAAGAAATAAACCCATGCTTATATGGTCAATTTATCTATAACAAAGAAAGCAAGAATATACAATGGGGAAAAGAGAGTTTCTTCAATAAATGGGGAAACCAAACAATTAACATGCAAAATAATGAAACTAAACACTTTTCAACACCATACACAAAAAATAAACTCAAAGGATTAAAGACCTAAATGTGAAACCTGAAACCAGAAAAATTCTAGAAGAGAGCACAGGCAATAGCATCTCTGGCACTGGTCATCACAACATTTTTCTGGATATGTCTGCTAAAGCAAAGGACAAAAAAGCAAAAATAAACTATTGGGACTACATCAAAATAAAAAGGTTCTGCACAGCAAAGGAATTATCAATAAAACAAAAAGGCAACCTACTGAATGGGAGAAGATATTTGCAAATGATATATCCAATAAGGGGTTAATACTTAAAAAATATAAAGAACTTCTAAAACTCAACACCAAAAAAAAAATCTGATTTTAAAATAGGTAGAGGACTTGAACATACATTTTTCCAAAGACATCCAGATGGCCAATAGACACATGAAAAGATGCTAAATATCACTCATCATCAAGGAAATGCAAATCAAAACCACAATGAGGTATCACCACATACCTGTCAAAATGGCTAAAATCAAAAAGGTAAGAAATTAAAAGTATTGGCAAGGATTTAGAAAAAGGGGGGGGGGGCAGAAATTGGCACAGCCACTGTGAAAAGCTTCCTCAAAAATTTAAAAAGAGAAATACAATATGATCCAAAATTCCACTACTAGGTATTTGCACAAACAAAAATGTAAACTCAAAAAGATATATGGACCCTATGTTTATTTCAGCATAATTTATAACACCCAGTATAGGGAAACAGCCCAAGTGTCCATCAATTGATGAATACATGAAAAAAATATGGTAGGTACGTATATATGTACATACAATGGAATATTATACAGCCATAAAAAGAATGATATCTTGCCCTTTGCAAAAATATGGATGGACCCAGAGAGTATTATGCTAAGTGAAATAAATAAGACTGAGAAAGACAGATACCATATGATTTCACTCATATGTGGAATCTAAAAAAACCAAAACAAATCAACAAAAAGATGAAACAGACCTATAAATTATAGAGAACAAACTAATGGCTGCCAGAGGGAAGAGGGGTGAAGAGATGGTCAAAGTGGGTGAAAGGCAGTTGTAGAGATAGGATTCTGGTTATGGAATGAAAATGTCAAGGGAATAAAAGGCACAGCATAGGGAACAGAGCCAATGATATAATAATAACACTGCATGGTGATGGATGAGAGTTATGCTTGTGGTGAGCACAGCATATCGTACAGAGACACCAAATTACTATATTGTACACCTGAAATTACTGTAGCATTGGGTGTCAGCTACACTTAAGTGAAAATTTTTTAAATCTAAAATATTATTTTTTTAAAATTATTCACATATTTTAAAGAATGACAGAGTTATTGAATGGATAAAATCCTCCAAAGGCAGCTTTTTTTGTTCTAAGCTTCCATATCTCTATAAACTCAAATCACCAGACCCCATGGTTACATTGCTACTGCATTTTCAGTTTCCAGCATTACCTACTGACCTCCCACTGTGAAAGAAAGGATCGACCTTTAAAACCAACCAGCACCCTCTCCCCATCTCCACTTCTAGGAAACACAAATTCCCTTAGCTTTCTATGACAACATTGATTAAATCAATTGTCATCATTTCTGATACTAAGATTCACAACTAAAGCATAAATATGCTGATTGCTTGCCCTTTCTTTCCCTACAGTTAAAAATTGCCTGTTTTGGGGGCAGGAGGTTGACTATTTATTTTCTTATAAATTTATTACAACGTTGAACTCCAATCTCCAACTGTCAAAACCACTAATATACTCATAAATGTTGAAACTTTGATATTCTTTGTCTTTTCTAGAGCCTTCTCATTTGTTTCAGTATACATTTGTTCTCCTGTTTATTCCTTTGTTAGGGTAATACATCATCCCATAGCTTCCTGAAAACGAATTCATGGGAGACAACTTTCTGAAACTTAAATTTCTGAAAACATCTTTATTCTATTCACTTATGTAATTAATAATTCATAGACCTTTGAAGGCTCTGCTCAATTCCCTTCTTACTTTAGTGACACTAGTGAGATATCTGAAGCCTTTCTGATTCTGATCATTTGTATATGACATTTTCTTTTGATGGTTGTAGGGTTCTTCCCTCTCAGAAAGCATGTAGGATCTTCTGTTTTTAGTGTCTTACAATGTAAAATTGTACAATATTAAGCATAGATATGGTCATAATCATCCACTATGCTAAACACTATGGAAAACTTTTCATCTACAATGACCCCATGCTTACACATGTAGGCTCTGACCACACACCCCAAACTCCATCCACATTTCATATACACAACCTTCCCTCAGCTACCTCTAAGCACACTGTGTTAAAAGGCACTCACCAGAACCAAGAGAATAAAGAGGCCTGCAGACCCTGGAAATGGAAATCAGGACCCAGGATCTGGAATGTGATCTACAAGGGGGTCATGTGCTACAGGAGTGCCTCTTTATTGGCTCTGAAGTTCCATCACTTCCTACCAACGAACACAGCGGAAGCACCATCTATCAGGGGTTCTCCCTCCCTGAGGGCACTAATGACACTTTGTCCAAATCTTCTGCTCAGGTCTTTTACCAGTTTCTTCTGAGATTTTTTGCTGATCTTTAATTTTCCTAAGATTATTTTCTGGTTCCTGATGATCAGTTCATATGAAAGCTGATGATAAACTCTCAGCGAGTACAGTTCAATGACTGAAATTCTCCATATATAGTGTGGCTGGGTCATTTACCTAAATAGCTCTGGCTATCAGTGGATTCCCCATAAAAGGATCTTCTTTACCTATAGTTGTAGTACAACTCCACCTTTTCTTTCCAGTCTAGAGACCTTCAGTTTTACCCTCTCCAGATAGTAAACTTGTGTATCTTGCCAGGGTAGGAGAAAAGAGACTTAACTACACAGAGGTTAGGAAGGAATAGCAGGATCTCACTATTTATTCTTAAAGAAATATTCAACCATGTTTCCATTTTTAATTTTTTTAAAGCTTTTATTTATTTATTTGTCAGAGAGAGAGAGAGTGAACACACAAGCAGAGGGAGTGACAAGCAGAGGGAGAAGCAGGCTCCCTGCTGGTCAGGGAGCCTGATGCTGGACTAGATCCCAGGATTCTGGAATCTAAACTGAGCCAAAGGCAGATGCTTAACTGACTGAACCACCCAGATATCCCCATGCTTCCATTTTTAGCTCTACCTTCTAGTCACTTCCATTTTCAGAAATACTTGTATTACCATTTCCTAAGCTTTAGGAATGTGTGCACGTGTGCACACATGCAAAAGGGATTCTCTCTCATATGAGTCATATCACTTTTTATTTTAAGATCGAGCTTCCTTGGGTCCTTTCAGATTCTAAAAATGTAGAGCTATTATCTTCTTTTTTTATTCTCTGTGTCATTTTAGGTTTTATTATTATAATTACTATTCCATGATTGTGGCTTTATGGGAGTTTTAAGAGCAGAGAAAGTTAATGTGTATATTCTACCCTTTACCTTCATCAAGAAGCCGTAGTGATTTATTGATGCTTAAACAGTAATATCCAGAGCACCTTCCACTGGGAGGCTTTAAACCTCCTGGACCAGGTTATTTCTATGACCTCTTGTGTAGGAGCGCTAATATTCATTCACTTATTCTGTTTTATCCTAAACCAAT